GAGGAGGAGGAGGGGGGGGATGGAGGAGGAAGAAGAGGAGAAAAGGGGCAAAGTCTACAAAGGTAGTGACAACAGCAGCATACATTATAACGACAACTACACAAAGAGAACGACTCAACGATGACTGCAATAGCAACGTGAGACATAGAAGAGACATTGAAAACAAAACTGTCCTTGAAACGGAGAAGAAAAACTAAAGGAATTAGCCTATGAGTATTCGTCAGATAGTTTAAATCGTAAATGTACAATCAAATTAAAGCTTTAATGAGTTTTTCTTCAAAATGATTGGATAGATAGGCTACTTGAATAACCGATGCAACAGAACGGTCTTTACAGAAATCGATGTTACGTTTTTTAAAAACTATCAGCTATTCATTTATAATATTTACTAGTATTTCATTTCACATAGAATGGGAATGCTTTTGCATTTTGTAGTAATGTCATCAGAAAAAGAGATTGCTGCGTCACTTTCAAGACTGATTGAGGAACATTGAACGCCTGGAAGGCCTACATAGTACAAAGTCAGTTGTGCGGTGAATCTTGAATTAGAAATCGGAACGGAATCGCCCGTGGGAAAGCACCTGTCTTATTTCTGTCAACCAGATTATTGTGAAGATTGTGGTTGGATAGAGAATTTTCCTTTCCACCAATGAACGCTAAATATCGCATGCCATTCGATGCAGACTCGACCCACTTTGCGACTTGCGCTGCCTCCCCCCTTCACCACACAGGCCGATCGTGAATCGTGACCGTGTGTGTGTGTGTGTGTGTGCTGCGCAGAGAGTGAGAGAGAGAGAGAGAGAAGAGAGAGCAGTGTAGCACAAACCAACTGATTCTATCGACTGTCGACTGGAACTCACACCAGAAGCAGCCCCGGTGTATGGGGTATCGACTGAACAATGTGATCACGGATTACTTGGTTAAAATTTGTGTTTCATGAATTCTCATTCTGTAAGAAGTAAGTTGGAGATTCTACTATTGTTTGTTTTTTACTCCTGCTGTTGTGAAAATTGTCGAACAATGGAGTTTTGTGGAATCTTGTGTTCAGTGTTGCCCTCCCTGCCTGCGAAAAGAAGCTCACGTTCCTGAAAATAACGGGAAGTTGGAGGTGCCGCTTCGCAAGTGGTAGTTGCCGCGGTGGCATTAGGCTTGGCACCCACTTGATGGTTTCATGGTGACTCATCGTGGATGTGTGCAGCATGCCCCTTGGCTAATGTGTACAACTGTAGTAACATGTTGTCATTGTTGGCCCAGAGACCACTAAAAATCTAGATCTTCTATGAGAGTCTCCGGTTTGTTTTAGAATGGCCAATAATAGGCCTAGATCTAGGCCTAGATCTATATCTATATATCTAGATCTAGAGATCTAGACTAGATCTAGAATCTAGTTGTTTTTTTTTTTGTCGTTGTCACATTGTCATGATTGTGATTCTTGTTTGTTTGCCCGGACACTGTAGAGCCAACATGACATGACATCTCCCTCCAAGTCAAAGTCCAAAGCAGGCCTCTATCATTATAATAGGCCTACTCTGTTCGGTACAATCAGATATTTCAAAAACTATTAATTTGCAAGGGAAATGATTTTAATATTCTTGTTCAGCACATCAATATAAAATATAATGTTAGTAGTAAATGGACAACTGGTAGCGAAGTGTGGGACGGGAGGGAAAGTAAAAAAATACCGACCTTTTACATAGAGGCATAGGGCCTAATTATGAAGCTTAAATTTATAATGCACTAAGAAACATTTAAAAAGTAGGCCTGATTACTAATGATGTCGTAATTTTTAGTAGCTTAATACCAATGAGACTTCACCTTGCCTTACCCTCCAAAGTGATTAACAAACATTTATTTAATATTAATTTTTAAAATTACACTTTTAAAATTATAATATCCACTCTTTGCTTTCGGTGTTGAGGGTTCAGACTTTTATTTGACTGACATTTCCATCCTTTTCAAAATGGTCATGTATGTAAACTTGTCATGTTAACATACATGATAATATCATTGATTTTTTGTGTACAATGTAGTTATAATGTTTGTGTTTGTAAGTGTTTTACAGCGCTCGCAACTGCATAGAAGGTCATATATATGTGAGCAGGCGGGACACATTGAACATTTTCAGTTGGTAGGAAATTTTGAATTTTTGCCCGGGCGGCGGCCGAAGCCTACTTTTATCGATTTTAAACCACCAAGGGATCTTTAACGTGTGCAACTTGCACTCGGGTCCTCTGAGATTTTTCGCCCTTGTCCGAGAAGGCTAGGGTGTCAATCTTTCCTTCCAGAAGATCAGGGGTGTGGCTGAAAGACAGCAGTAAGAAGGAGCCAAGGAGTAGCAGTAGAAAGGCTGCAGAAAGAGTCAGGAGTCCAGAGGAGGGGGCAAAGGAGGTGAGAGGCTGAGGGCAGAAAGTGGAGACGAAAGGAGAAGACAGAACATTGTTAGAGAGAGCAGGAAAGGAGGTGAAAGGAGACAATTTTGGAAAAGAAAATTTTTCCGTCACTACCCAGATTCGAACCTGGGATCTTCGAATGAGAGGCCAACACCTTAACCTCTAGGCCACAAGATCCCCCGTGCGTAGAGTAAAGAGAATGAATATAAAAAGGGAAGTTGGGAAGAGAGAGTGAGAGAGAAAGAAAAAGAGAGAGAAAGAGAAGACTTGCTTTTTTCTAATTTTATAATCGAACAGACATTTGTAAGGCACCATCTCTCTATCTGACTTTCTTTCTCTGGACCCACAAGTTGTGTCAAAAAAGCTTGGACACCTTTTTTTTTAAAAGATAAAAATGTTGTTTTTTCATAATAATTACTAATATATGATGATAGTATAGTCTTGTGACTTGTGACTATGTGGTTAAAAGTAAGTGTTCTTATAATATGGTAACCTAGTGAGACAATAATTTTCATAGTTAGCTGAGTGCTGCATAAACTTTATAGTGTTGCTTTTTAGTTGCCTTACTTCCAAGGAGATACAGTAAGGCCCTTGCTTACCTCTCCCTATTTAGTGTTCAGAGATGTCCATTGAGTGTTCTCCAGCATGGCCTCACACAAAGCTCCATGGAGGGTGGTTGGCGGATGCTCTGGTGTGGTTTGCTCCTTCTTTCCAATCGAATTTCAGTCATCCTAAATTTTTACTTCTTTTTAGAAATAAAAAAGTCATGTTACTCTCCAGTAGCACCTTTAAAGTTGGGCCCCTATATGATGTATTTGTTGCAAATGGCATATTATAAAACAGTCATTGTTAAATGAAACCAAAAAGCTTCATGTTCTGAAGTAGGCTACAGGAAATTATATTTCAAACATTTACATCTAGGCTTCAACATAATTTTTTCATGATTCTTTTTGAAGGTATAATATGTTGAAATCACAATCAATTGTTTTCATTTGAAGTCTGAAAGGTCTGAAAGGATGGTTGATGTCTCTCCTGTTACTTACATACTCTTAGTATTCGGCCTCTTTTACCTTTTAGAGTGTCGAGGGCATTAATCAGATGTCATGTCTTTCTCTTGTTTGTTTTAATAATTTATTTGAAAAGAAAGGAGCCAAGGGATGAATGATTGGGCCACAGGTACGACAGGAAGGATGATGTATGGCCACATGAATAAACCACTGGTCAAAGATCCAATCAATGAGTTGAGGAGGGTAGATCAATCCATAATCTTCCAACTTAGAACTCAACATGTACCCCTCAACCAACATCTCAACCGAATTGGAGTAAAGCAGTCTGCTGCCTGCCCACTATGTGACTACCCCTCAGACAGTGGAACATCATCTGTTCTTCTGTAGAAAACTAACTGATTTAAGGGGATGTTTTCTTCCCAAGCTACCCCACACATCTAATTGCCTCTACTCCTCAAGACAACTATTAGAACAGACATGCAGCTATTACTGAATTGCATCATGGAGAAGAGTTAACGCTCAGATGCTACTGGATCACTAACAACAACAAAGGAGCCAAGGGATCAATTTGTCTTTGGATTTTGTACCAGTCCTGACTTTTATGGGTTTTTTGTACAGGGCATTGAAAAACAACTGTGTTTACCATGCAGACCTGACTTATTCTCATATCTCTTTTCGAGGAATTCTTTTTTTATAGCTTTATATAAAAGATGCTGTTCAAATCTTTCCTTAGATGTGTGTGTACAGTGAAATTTAATGAGCGGTTACATTATAGAGTTATAGATTAGTGCTTGTACAGTACAGCATTAACATTTTATGTTCCTATTTTTCATTTCAGAAACTGATTGCAGAGGCAAAGAAACAACAAGAAGCTGTTGACACCTTGTTGGATAGAGGTGAAAGATTTCTAGCTCACAGAGCCAACATTGTTTTGGAAGTGGACTTTGAGAATCTTGTGTTTTTGTGGAATTCCTATGCGGAGGAGTTAAGAAAGCTGTACGAGGCTTCCTTTCCCAATCGTCGCGTCAAACGTTCACTGATATCAGCGAACGCATGCACAGAAGCTGAAGAGTCATCTGGGCCTGAGGAACCAAAAAGGCGTTTGAAAAGAATTCCGTCAGCAACAGAGGAAGCAAACGGAGATTCAAGACAGAGAGGCTCAGTTTCGATTGGGAATAGCCACTTGAGTTCTGAAGAGTCCCCTCAAAGTCAAAAAGATTATTTCGAAATTGATCAGGGGACAAATTCCTTTGTGAAACAAAGCTCAGATTCCTTTGGCTCGGATTCACACGTTTCGGATATAAGTGAAAAGAATTCTCGTGGGCTTTGTCTTGCGGATCTCGAGACACCCGACCAGCATCTTACTGTTGATGACCTCACCTGTGACAAGGGGGATTCCGTTCTAGTGCACTCAGCAGAGCCTTTGGATAACGAGATAATCTCTTTAGAAGTGGTGAATGATCCCCTTTCTGAAACGGATTATAATGTCTCGCCTCTCGCATCATGTGATGGGACTTTCCCAGAACCCCCGGAAGGGGCGATGCTAACATCTCATCAGGCGTCAAATCCAGGATACGACATGGCTTCTCAGCACCCATCCTCCATGGAAGCTGTAGAGTGTGAGGAAGGAGTACGTCATCAGCATGGTGGAAACAACGGAGCGACTATGACAGCGAAGACCAACAACCTGACCCCTCTGGTGGTCATGCCAGCAATGGGAGGAGGTGATAGCGACGATAACCTTTCACCTTGCTCCATGCTGACCAAGGATTTGGTCGCTGCCACCTCTGAGGGAAGTTTGAGATCTGATACCGATGGCTTGGCCCCTTTCGACTCACCAAGCTTGAAGGTTTTCGATTCACCAGGTCTGGAGTTGCCTTCAGAAGCTAAGCGTCGCCGAATGCTTCTGGATACTTCGTCCAACACCAGCACCTTGAGCAGCAGGTCTGAGTCACCCCTCAATAGCCTCGACAGTAGTCGCTCGGCCACTCCGACCGGCACCCTCACTCGTGCCGACAGAAAAGGAGAATTGTGGAAAGCTATCAATTCGATTGATAATTTTCTCATGGATAAAGACATTATCGAGGCTTGCAAGGTAGGAAAATTCAGTTGTTGTGTGTGTTATGTAAATGTATTGTATGCTTGCATGCTTTTTGCATTGTATACTCTAAATGCTGGGTATTATGGATGTACGAAAAGTTGATGCAGCAAATGTGGCTCCAGTAAAGTAGAAAGAACATTGTATGGTTTTTGTATTTGAAGCTGTATCATTTAGAATTATTGAAAGTGAAATTTGATTGTAATGCGAAATACAAGTACTTTTTACCCAGGCGCAAAATTCTTTAGTTTTCTTCTTCTGGCAGCATATTTTAAAAATTTTAAATAGAGTTTGCAGGTAATTCTCTGAGTAGCCAGTAGTCTCCTGTTATAATCTATTGCTGGAGTTACTGCTGTGTGTGCTTCTGAATAGGTTTGAAATTTCAAGATCCTTAATCTTTAAACACAACAATAGGTTGCAAACTTACTTTATGGTCCAAACTAAGCAACTTTCTATTCTAGTTTTTGACTATTTTAGGCATGTGTATAGTTTTTTTTCTGGTCATTGTCTTCCTTTTACAGTCTACTGAAAAGGATTTGAGTAATGACGACGATGATTTGGCTGGCACTCCCAATGTGTCATTCACGGAATTCTTACAACAGTACAGAGAACTCACGGATTGGTTAAATCAAGTCCACAAAGTGACACAGAGAGAAGTGACTAGTCTATCGGAGAAGTACTTAAATCAGGTATGTGTATACTCACACTGTTCCAGTCCTTGCGTTCCCTTTGTGTCAATATTACAATTGTTGTGTTGTTATTGTGATCACAGACAGAGTGTGTTTCATTGATTTCTTTTCTGGTTCTGTTGGAGTAGTAGGTGGTTTGAGGCTGACTGACTTCTTATTCTTTCCCTCTGTTGTCTCTTTGTCCATCATGTCTGTCTTGCTTTTTCTCTCCACTTATTGACTGCTACTGAGTGGTTGTAACTTTTTTCATTACCCAAAAAGCAATAAATCAAAATTGTTGAAAAGTGCCAGCTCCGATTATCTGTGACATGGACAATGGAGAAGCACTGCTCTGTGGTGCAGATATCTCTAACAAATGGTTGGTAGGCACTTTGATTCTGTCTCTTTTTTTCCCCCACATCTTTTACTGTATTTCTGATCTATTGGCAAACAAAATGTAACTTACTCTATTCTAAACTATGTTGACCTGATGTTTTCATCCTCATATACAGGCTTTTAATTATTTGAGATATTACAAGTGAGTGAGTGGAGGATACCACTTAATTGTCAGGTCATACTTCTTTCGTCTCTCTTTATCATTTTTCATGTTTGTCTGGGTCTTTTTCTCGCTCTTTATCTTTGTCTGTCTGTTGCTCTGTCAACCTACCTGTCTTTCTATCTCTCTGTCATTTTCCTTGGCTGCCTGTCTTTTTCCGTCAAGCCAAATTACAGTTGAGTTTGTGAAAGGGTCTATGTTTTTCTTTTTCAGAAGACAAAAAGCTTTTAAAAAAAAAGAAAATATTATCTTGGCCTTAAATATGGCCTCAGACACAAGATATAATGTAGTTTACATTATATCCAGTTTTAAAGTTTTTTTTATTCGCGAATTTATCTCAGAACCTAAAATAGAATGCAAAAAATCACTCTTGTTGAAGTTGAAGTGTAAATTGACTTTGCTCTCATCTAGTTTGTTCCCCCGTACTTGACCTGCAGCAGATTGTCAGTGGGTGGTTGGTGGGTTCTCTGGTGTGGTGTGCTCCTTCTTTCCTATCAAACATCTGTTGTCTTTATCTCCCCTCCTTCTTTTTTGTGTTTGTTACTCCCTTGTAACAGCTCTAATCTTCGGCACTTAAATAACTTTATTCAAGTTATTGTGTTGCAAGTGCTGTAAAATTCTTACGAAAAAAAAAGCAGATTGTGACTAGGGTACTAGGGTGAAAGTTAATTTGAGGGCCTACTTATCTCCGGTTTTGTCTGTTCATCATTTCGTTTTTATTTCATCTCAGAATTACGCCTTCACTGTGTACTGTAGGTGTTCTTAAAGTATTTTATTTGCGATGTTGGGTGGAGTTTGCACTTTGCCGTTGATTTAAAAAAATGTTACAAGATTCAAACAAGAAGTTTCTGCGCGGGAAAACATTCCTGTCCGACCAGGCGTTCGCGCGGTAGTTCCGTCTCATATGCACACACCTATTCGAAAAAAAAAAAATTAAAAGAAAAAAAGAAACCTTAACAAATCTGTCATTGTTAAACGTTTTTAAATTAGATGGGTGCGGGGGTTGCTGTAAAAATGAGTACGTGTAGTAGTCTCAGGTTTTGAATAGAGCTCGCGTCCGATCTCTGCTTATATTTGAAAAAAAAAATAAAAAGAAGAAATGGCAGACAGATGTAGGTGGATACAGAGAGGTACAGTGTGTTGGAGTCTTCATGTACACTGTGCTGCTCTCCGGGGTATACATATCTCACAGCCAGCCTCGTATGTGGCGGGTAGATAGTGTAGGTAAGGTTGATAAGGCGTGAACGGTGTGCTGTCTGGATCTGGAGAGACATGGAGTACTGAGGGAATGGAGTAGAGGGGTGGGGGGGGGGGGGGAAGAGAGAGAGAGAGAGAGAGAGAGTGGGGAACGAGAGAGAGAGAGGGGGGGAGTGGAGAACGAGAGAGATATATAGAGAGAAAAAGAGAGAGAGTGGAGACCGATAGAGAGAGAGAGAGAGCGAGAAAGAGAGAGAGAGGGGGGAGAGAGTGGAGACCGAGAGAGAGAAAGAGAGAGGGGGGGGGGGAAGTGGAGAACGAGAGAGATATATAGATAGAGAGAAAGTGAGTGGAGAACGAGAGAGAGAGAGAGATAGATAGAGAGTGGAGAACGAGAGAGAGAGAGAAGAGAGAGAGAGAGAAGAGAGAGAGAGAGAAGAAGAGAGGGGGGGGGGGTAGAAGAAGAAGAGGAGAAGATAATTTATACGAAGAAGGATCATAAGAAAGGAGAAGGAACGACGGGGGTATCTCCTATCTTTTTTTATTTGTGCAGCAAGCAGAGAGACACAGAAATAAGACAGAAAGAAAAGGAATGCAAGAGGAGAGTTGAGAAAGGAAACGATATATATATATACACTCTGTAATGATAATATAATGTGAGAAGAAGGGACGTGGGATCTCTATCCCTTTTTTCTTCTTCTTTTTTATTGTTTGAGCAGCAAGCATACCCCGGGTACAGACAGATAGTCGTTAACGTCTTGTGCACACACAAGCTTTAACCCTCTATCCGTACGCCCTGGGGTAATAATTTGTTCCCTTAGGTTTGTATTCTTCACATTTTAGAATACTTCTAGTACGAAGATCTCTTTGAAACTTGTAGTATTTCTTTTAAAAAATCATTTGGACAGACTGCTATGCAAAGCGTACGGATCGGATTAACGAGTAAATTTCCTCTTTGGAAAGTGGTGGCACATGGTTCCCAACGTCGCATGGATACCATAGTAAAACACGGCGTACGGATAGGGTTAACCCATCTACTTGTGCGTGTCTTTTCGCTCGTTTGTCTCGTCGTTCTTTTTTTCTTTTTTTTCTCTTCTCAGTCGCATAAAAAAGCTTTATCCACCCGCAGTGTTTCCTCCATTGATGCCGTTACAATAGTGATTATAAATGTGTATACTCGAGCAAATAGATACTTTACTCTGTCTATTTGGCCCGTGTTTTCGTTGTTTAACTGCAACAGCTGAGCTTTGAAGTAAGCGGGCGGGGATTATTTTTTTTTGGTGCCTTTTTCTGGGTAGGTAGGGTTATTTGCCAATATTGGTCGGTATACATTTACCCCCCCCTCTTTTATACCTTTTACTTTTACACCTTTCCCACCCCACTTTCAGTGCCAAATGTGTTTTCTCATTAAATTATTACCCTCTGTTGGAGACGGTTAAACAAGTACGGTGTTTTTGGTGGTGTTGCATGTTTGTCTTTCTTTATACGGGTTGCCCACTACGGATGGGATCATCGGGCCGGGCCGATCGCACGACTCGGTCGCCTCAAAAACAAACGTGTTTGTTTTTCGTTTCAGGCAACCGAGTCGGGCGATCGGCCCCCGATCCAGCCGTAGTGGGCAAC